TTGTGTCCCCACCGTTCTCTCCTATTGCTGACACAGGGTTTGATGGGTAAGGGTGGGATTCAAGCCCTGCAGAAACATCTAGCAGGCTAGAAGGCTCTGGACAGGGGTCATGGAATCCCCAGGAGGCCCAGGCAGCTGTCTTGCTTACGCGTTTGTCTCATCAGACCCGGTTTGGTCGATGCGTTGACATCGAAGAGGACAAGAGAGACATCCATCTTGTGCTGGAGAGGTGTCCGATAACCTGACGTTTATAGTGACGGTAAAGGACAGTACAGATGGTGGTGTAGCCATAGCAAGCATCTTTTCCCTTTCTGGCCAAATATGACCGTTAATAGGGTGGGAAAGCTGGATCTCAATGGGTGAACCAAAATCAACTGGGAACAGAACTAACAGGTAAAAAACCTGAGGAGGAACCGGAGGGTGGGCGCTATACTTCCACGACGACGGAACATTTACTTTATTCAAGTATAGGCTACTCCACTACATTTCAGAGGCAAATATCATACTTTTCACTCCTGTCAATAATGTGACATCTATATAGTTACTAGCTACATTTCAGATTCAGATTTTACATAAGAAAATATGTAATGAGCATATAAATACAATTCATTGTTATAGATCCAACTACGCAACAGTAACAGCTGATAAAGTTGTCATCATTAGCTCCACCTCAACCAGCTGGAACCTGAAAATAAATAGGGTTTTGAATGCAGTACTTGTACTCATTCTGTTGAGTCATACTGAATCTAGCCATGTGCTTTCACAACAGCATGGAGTGGAAAGGATGTGGTTATGTCAGTATGGCTTTTATAAAAAGACAAAAGAGTTTTCATCTTCAGAACAATCGATGCTTTATTTTGAAACTGTTAATTGCCGATATTTTCCACCAAAGTGCCCTGACCATGAATTACAAAATGATTCAGCGTACAACCGCATTATTAAAGAAGAGTTTGGCTCTTTACAAGAGGTAACCACAACCAGATGGGACTATGTTACGCAAAAGAAAGGCCTAACAACCAGCTGTTTGCTTCTGCCATTATATCTTTGTTCACCTAAAACTCCTTCAGAGAGTCAAATGATTTACAAGAATACATACTTAAATAGAATATGAATATTTGAAAAATGACTTTTGTTGATATTTAAAAAAGCTCCAACATCCAGCTCAACAAACAGCTATAACAAGCAGCTACATTTCAGTATATGCGTTTTTAAGTTTTTAGGTAAACACAGCAAAACATCGTGAGAGATCAAGTCATTTCTTATGTGCAGTCTCTGTGAAGGTAGCAGTAACATGTGGCTCAAGGTCCATCAACCCTTTGGGATTATGGGTGCAGTAATTAGAAGTATTGCTGATGCTCTGTGTTCAGGCATGTCAACAAGGAGACGGACAGCTCCAACAGGTGGAAAGGATATAAAGTAGGGGGAGTATGAACTCTTTTATCCCGGCACAGAGGGAGAAAGTGGTGTCAGAGGTATTGCCCAAAATAAACTGCCTGGTGTCTGGACAGTGACGATATGATGCAGAGCTAACAGGCGAGAGAGATGGATGGGAAGGGGCCCCAGGGCAAACTGTAGGTGCTAAAGCAGGGGCCATCCCAGGACTGACTTTCAGCAAAGATAGTGTCACAGTTAATAGGCCATAGTTTTTGTATTCTGCTTGAGGAAATGTAATTGTAATTTAATTAGAAATAATAACTGAAGTGGGAAAAGTTTGTGACTTTTTATATTAAAAAGAAATATCCTAAATCCAATCTTACAATGGCAATGCTAAGATGCTGATGTTAAGTATGATGTTTACCATGTTCACCATCTTAGTTTAGTGCGTTAGCATAATGACATTAGCTTACTAGCAATAAACTCTAAAGTACAGCTGAGGCTAATTAGAATGTCATATTTACAGGTATTCGTTCAAAAATGAACATTGGACAAATTCATATGGCGACCTGATGACGGGGCTAGATGAGGTCAAGGGATTGTTTTGTATAAATAACCCCATAAAAATGTAAGATGCTCGGTCTCATTTGCTGTGGATTATTGGCTTTTAGCCTCAGGGCCTTCTCAAACTGAGCACAGTTAGTCCTGTGTTGACACTTGTTTTCTGTGGAGTAAAGAACTGAGTTCTGTGAGAGATTCTTAACTCTGACCGTATGAACTTACACAAAAGCAAACATGCCACTTCCTGCCTAATTTCCTTTGCATCTTTCAGCCACACTGATACTTCTGATCTCATTTCGCCTACATAAGCCGAGCTATTTTACTGTGTCAATTTCCTGGTAGTCACATTTTGAATTAATCAAATGAGCACTTCAGATCCACTTCCAGGATGTACCAGTGGTATCTGCGCACACAACCATTTATGGGGGAATGCATTTCCAATGCAAATGTACACTGCATAGGTTGTCACGGCACATTATGCCTGGACAGACAGGGAGATGTATGAAGACATATATTTCCTCGACATCTACATGTAGCTAAATAGTAAGATTGCAATTTTCAAAAAGACAGTTTGTAAACTTGGCCAAGTAACTGATATACAGTATATTATATTTGATAAATATAAAAAACAACCATATATATTATAACCATACGATAGCAGCTGTGAGGGGAAAAAAGGGTTTCTTACTTGAAAAGTGCACTCTGGACACAAAATAGATACACCCACTCCCAAGCAGACTAGCAGTTGTAGAGATAAGGGTAATGCCACATATGTCTCAAATGACCCTTCTGTAAATCCATTACCCTGTAAATGTTGTCTGGTATATACTGTACCTTAAGAATATTAAGGGATCAGGAGACCAAATCCAAGAGGATGTCTTCATGTCCAAAAATCCCAAAGTATGTTGTTTTTGTAGACAGTGAGTTGTCTATGTCTAGGTCGACATGATAGATGATAGCAGTAGGTTTGATGCATGCATATAAACATGTCATTATGTTCTATTTTTGTTATCAGGATGATTAGAAACAATTTTGTTCCCAGTAGGACTAAGAAAGAAAAGTGTCTCTGTGGTAGACCCCTTTTGTGAGCTAATGTGCACTGTATAATACTGTATAATTGTCAAGGGGATAGAGTTCATGTGGCTGCTGTGAGCACTTCATTTTTCTTCCCCTGGAATGTGCTAAATGTTGAACATATTGATATTGAAAACAAGCCAAAAAAAAAAAAATCAGAAGATAACAGATCCCAGAGTAATGTCTTGTGTGACCCCCTGACAGAAAGCATTGACTTTCATTACTACACTGCTAACATGTAAGTAACACGATTGGAATATTACTAAAGAGACACTTCACAGAATAGCACAGCTGATCTGTTATAGCGTAAGTAAAAACCTTACACATAGTTCCAAACTGGAAAAAGTCCACCAAGATTCATCGTTCTACAAAGCAGGCTTCATTGAAAAGGTGACAAAACAGTAATGCCTCAGTATGAGGCCTTTGAACACTTGCATGCACATTTATTACAAAGATTTAGTATTTTTCCCAAAAAATCTTTTCTTGGCAGGATAGAAAAGCGTTTGAGAAAGCTCATGAGTCACCTAAACCCTCCACTGAAACCCATACCAGTGAAATTATGTTTGGGAGATAAAAGACTAATACAGACCGAGTATGAAATAGTTTAAGTAACTATAAATATTAGAAATGATTAATGTAAAAATTTGAGAATTCACAGTAAATAGTCATACCAAAGGTAGTAGGTACTAAAGACCATACGTCTGTAGCTAAGCTTATATTTCACATTTATAATTTGATTAAACCGTGTCCCTTAGAACAGGTATTATGACACTTGGTTGAACGTATTTGGAGTTAAAGTTTTTTGTTTTCAGTGGTTCCTGTAAAATACATTTACAAATGACGACATTTTTGCAGAAGTACAATGAAGTCCAATGGAACTTATTTGTGTTTTGCACACAAAATATGCAAACTGCCAACTCTGAGATACAGTTGGAAGATCCTGATTTATTTGTGTCTATTAGATACATGTAATGAAGGGAAAAGTACAATTCCTGCTGAAATATAAACTCAGTGGCCACTTTAATAGACACAATTATACAGTCTAAAAGTCTACTTTTGCCAATAATGTTCAGTTTTTGTTGACACTCATCTGTGTTGATTAACTACAGGTAAGACTGCAGAATCCGACCTTTATAAAGTGAAACGAGACCATATTAGTACTCGTTTGAAAATATTATTGGCCAATTGTTCGAAAAGTATGACAATGAATTGAATTTGCATTATAATTATTGATATTTAATGAAATAAATGTAATCAAACAAAAACAAATAACTTCATAAGTTTATTTTTGAATTTCTTCTAAATCTAAGTCTACCTTATAAAATGCAGATGAAAAATGCAAATTACAAATGAAAACTGGACTTTACTACAAAGAATGTGCTGTCCACTAATAGGCGAACCAAAAGGAACAAAGAAATGGCATTCTATTAATAATAAACAAATGGGAATATAATCATTTCACAATGTCACTGTGATAAGTAGGCTATACAACAGACACAGTATCCACAGTAGCTGTTCCCTGTAGGAACACTGTTACTACAGTGCGTTTTCATCGGGGATTAAAAGGCTTCTTTGACAGAATGATGTCATTAAAGGACGGGAGACTTATTCGCCGATTGTGTTTCTGATACACGGTTTACTGAACTCCACTCCCGTTCACTGCGATGTGAACGCGGAAGGAAACGTGAGCTACACGGGGCGGTCACACCCCCTTTTCTCTGAACACTGCAGACTCCAGCCAACACACATACACACACACACACACACACGTACACGCTCACACACTACGCACACGCTTGACATAGGCTAGGCGCAACTGCGCAAACACACCGAAGACGAGGGAGAATTCGTCTTTAACTCGTTTCTGCAATATTACACCGCGCTGCCTGAATGTGACGCGACAACACTTAACGACAACGCTCACCGGTGAGTAGTTTAGCTTTTTCTCCATTTATTGTATTATTTTATATGATGGTCGAGAGTGGAAATAAATGTAAAGAAAATAATTGTATGGCTGGCAGCAACATGGAAAACGATCGTTGCGCAGCACAGGGATCATCCGCGCCAAAATAAAAAGTCACTGTATGACATTACTTGCCACCAAATTCTGCCTCGAAATTAAATGCGCACAAATATTGACAAAAGTATCAAAGGTACATTGTTTGACCCTCAGAGGGAGACGTCGTTCTGAATCAGGTCCTCGGGTGACGTTGAGTGCGTATTCCTTCTCGATTTATTATTTTCCGTCACGCTGAATGATGCGTCATTATGCGTTTGGATGCACTCTACAGTCTATGGATGCGCATGAGGAAACTCCAGGAGGATGCACTGTCTATCCTGTCCAGGACATGAGCCTACTGGCTTTGATATGCTTTCCTTTGGCGTAAGGTTATGTCATTTCACCAAGTGTAGTGAAAATATCTGTGAAGTAGCCTCGGGGTTGAATAATTTGCTAGAAGCTCAGCAGCCATAGTCTCAGTCAAAGTTTACATCTTGAACTTTGTTTAACGGTTTAGGGATTTTTAAAGTGCACTGGTTGGACCACCGGAGGACTTAAGGAGGAACTCAATATAGGAGTTGTTTAACTTTACCAGTTGTTTTTAGTGGTTAGCCCAATGACTGTTGTGATTGCAGGTTTCACCAAGCTGTCCCTCCACCTACTGTAAACAGCTAAACTCTTGAACCAAGCCCAACATGTCATACACACAAGAATTGTCTCTTAGACTTGAGGTAAACTTTAGAGTTTCCTGTAAATGCTCATCTAAATGGGTTTTGTGGTCCAACATGAAACTACTTCTGGCGTTCAGTGATGCAAAAAACAAAGTTTAAAAACATTATCATGTGATTTCCTGTTGGTCCGCTGCTGCTGGTGTTTGTCTAAAACAAACACCAGCAGCACACCCAATGCAAAGGTGTGCCCATGTTGCACTTACAGAAGTAACATTAAAGATCCCTTTGTCTTGCTTTCACTTTTGTGTAAGCCACCTTCTTTGTGAGGATATAGACTTACTGATCATGTATTCATCGTACTGTAAATGTGTCTCTGTCTGTATGTGGCTTGGAAGTGTTGCCAGTATTGACATAGGTAGTCCCAAGAAGCAGAACATTTTAATATCTGCAACACTGGAGTACCTACAGCAGAAGATTAAAGCATTCTGGTTATACGACATGCCGCCCGTAATTAACTAGATGAACACCAACCGTTTCTAAACGCTTCATGCAGAGACTTAATTTAAAGGCGCATGAAAACACAAACAACTCTATGTCCTCTCATCATTGGATAGGTGTTCCCAACTGACTAAGATAGAGGACATTTAGCTGATGAGTTCCCTCTTTTTAATGCAGCAGAGTTCCACAAACATGGTGATGACAGACAGCTGAGGAGCTTGTCGGTGTGAGGATGCCTCAGAGACACTTAGCTGTGTGACATTTTCCGGGCAAAAGTAGCCTAGAAATCGTGAAGTGGCAGACGCTACCTTTTACAAACCGTTGATTGTGAACGTTTTCAGACAGAACTAAACGATGAAAAAGCAGCACAAATCCTCCTAAAAAACCTGCTGAGTGATATTGAACTGCCTTAGTTGGGAGAAAGTTAGCTGCAACTGCTGATAACTGTTATCAATAAACCTTTACCCAAGTTCAGTGCCAAGCTGAATAGTGTTCTCGTCTGTCGTTGTAGGCGATTAGCAAAGATTGATGTTGCAGGAACTGTCTGCATGAGATCATCCATTTGTCTCTTTAGCAGTTACAGTAGCTCCCTGAAGACAAACAAAACTCAGCGTATACACATTCAGAGATAACTGAATGAATCAGGCTATTCAGAAGAAGTTTTTTTTTTTTTTTTTTTTTTTAAATTACCCACGAGGAAGCAGAAAGGTTTATCTTGTGTTGGACAGCTCGGCCAGCGGCTTTCTATCCATTAACTGCCTCAGCATGAGAAGTGTCTTGAGGGAGCACCAAGAGGGACTGCCACATTTCAATAACAACGATTGTGCCAGTGACAGTTGCTGTGACTTTTCTGAAATAGCAAGCGGGGTGTCTCAGGGGCACATATAGATAGCAAGTGTGATTCCAGCTGCCACTGTGGCATCCAAGTCTTAATGATAGGGCAGTTGACGAGTGGAGTGTTTCTTTTCATATGCTTTGAGCTATGTATCAAGTTGCTGGACCATTGTTGATCAGAGCTACTTTAGCCGTAACATGAAATAAACAGCTGATGAGGATTATACAGCTGTCACTCCGTACTCATAAGGGGGGCTCTTAATCGAGTCTGTGTGTGTACGTGTGTGTGTGTGTTCTGGAACTTCTATCCTTGCGAAGCATTACCAGTTAAATTCTGTTTTACTATTTAAAACGTGTCTACTCACCAAACTTTGTTATGCGTTTTTAATCCTGCAATGTTGAAGACCGACTTTTCTAGTTAGTTCCTGGTAAAATAAGGTGACCAAGAGTGTTCATTAGGGTACCAGTCAAATAACTTCAAGGTGATACTTTTGTGAGGGAAGTTCATCTTTGGTCAAATTACACTATAATACCAATATTATCTATCTCAAAATCTCACACCCGTTGATACAAGCATTAGATAATCAATAACAAGGACACCCAGTGATACATCTCAGAAAACCTCCCAGGAAGACTGGAGTTAGACTTTAAACTAGGAAAGATGTTGTTTTTGCTGCTGCTGCCATTTGTGAATGCATCATCAACTGTAGGATCTGGTGCAGAGTTGACAGTGGAGTGACAAGCACACGAATGAGGTTGGCAGTTGATGAAGTGGTTAGTTCAGTGCTCCAGATGGAGTTGAGGTGAAAATGCAGACATTAGGGACAACTAAAAGTCCTCACAAGTATAGTAAGACACAACATGTGTTAGTAACTGTGTTTGGGTACGCAAATCTAGTCGTGAGTGATTCAAGACTGAGCTTAACACGGCCTTTCAGAGAGGCTGAAATGTCGGTGATTAGGCTGCCGCCCACACAGTGTGCTGCCGGGACAGCTGCAGCTGGTTATCAATCAAGCGTTTAGAGAAAAGCTATTGAAACGGATCCCACTGCTCGATTCTACCAACTAGTTTTTTTATAATGAATACAGAAGGCAAAGAGGCACTTTAGTTGCAATCTCTTACAGCCATCTACTGTACATAAAGTCATAATGCAATACTCCTTTGACTGGGATTCCACAGCTTTGTATCGACAGTTTCTGATGAAACTATTTTCAGCCATATGAAAATTGTCTAAATCACAGATCTGTTGGTTTTGAATATTTAATTGCAGAAATTACAACAAATGTAGAATAATCCAATACAATTTAAGGAGCAGTGTCTAAGATGTAGTGGCATCTAGTGGTAAAGTTGGAAATTGCAACTATTTGAATACCCCTCCGCTCACCCCTCCCTTTCCAAGCGTGTCAGAGAACTACGGTGGCCTTCAGGTAACGTAAAAACCTGAATGGCCCTCTTTAGAGTTTGTCCGTTCTGGGCTACTGTAGAAACATGGCGCTGCAACACGACGGAGTCCTTGAAGACGACTAGCTCCGTATTTAGATATAAATGGCTCATTCTAAGGTAACAAAAAACAATTCTTAGTTTCAGGTGATTATACACTGAAGAAAATATAGTTATGAATATTATGTTCCACTTCTGCCAATAAATCCTGCTTAATCTTACACACTAAGTTTTCAACCTTCAAGGCCAACTTCCCCTGGTATATAGAGCAAAATTAAGAAGACTGGTACAATTTATTTATTTTACGGTTTAGCTACCATGTGCTGGAAAGGGGCACATCTGAATGCCATTCTTGAAATGTGCAGTGTAAGCTAAACTGTCTGTTGAGGCTGGAACCTCAGGAAATTATTCTCTGAAAGCCAAAAACAACAAGCTGCCAGGAATGGGGAGAGTGGGAAGTTCATAGAGCATGAGGTGGAGGCAGGGCAAGATGGATACATTTCAGTGCTCTCAAAAATAGTAGCTTCAGATGCACACTGGGACCCTCATGTGATAGCGTGCGGGGGTTTTAAATCCCCGTCATGTGCAGTCGGCAATTTCCTCTGTCCAAAGTCCTTGAAGATAACTCTCTCATCACGAAAGAACATTTATTTGATCCCTGGCACGTCCTGTAGTCCGAGGATCATATGTCACAGATAATGCCATGTGGACCTGGGAAAGAACTGGACGCCTTGTAATAGAGTAGAAGAGACGAAACGTACTTTGAAGTGAAAAGTATAGTGAAGTGAACATGCAGTCTCATAGCAAATTCACAGCTGATCATAAACCATATGCAAATGTGATTTGGTGAACTGGCCACAGAGGAATTCAACTATTTCCCCATCTAGTGAGGTGAACTACAAATAAGTCACGTTGGACTAGTAAAGTGCGAGTTCAACTGTTACCGGTGCTTTTAATCCCGAATGACGAGGCATTTAAAATAAAAAAAATGAATTGGACCAGTCTTCTTACTTCGTAATTTGTATTAAATTCTTGTAAAGACTACATTTGTGGTGTGAAGATATACAGTATTTAGCAGCTTTGCGTTCTATTTCAGAGGCATAGATATATGGTCGATAATTACTTCCTCAAAAATGATCAGCTCAGTCATTTGTGCTGAATATTTTATGCCACATCTGTTCACATCTTTAATTTTCTCTTGTTGACACATTCTCGGCAGCCGTTGGTAGAGTTCAATTAAGGCATTGGAAGTGTGCATAAGTGGCGAGGTTTGGAGTTGATTGTAGAGACTTGTCTTATATGTGTGGGCAAATCATTCAAAAATGAAAAATGGAATGGAACATGCAGGCTTTGCTTTTGTCACCTTATTTGAAAAAAAATGTTTTGTCTTTTCATGGGAACACGGAGACTACAGAACAAACATTTCTCTCACAGGTTTTTTCACACCACCCAATTTACAGTATACATATACTACAGTGGAGGTAAAGTATAGCATATCTAACTGATAGCTGGAACTATGTATTTTAGAGTGGGCTCAACAAGTAGTCAGATGACTGACATACGACTGCCCTCTATGCAAATGACCAGCGACCAAATAAAACAGCTTGTGTTTGGATGCCCTACACTATTGCCTTCTTCCTTATCCACAGCTGTTCCGTCTCTTCACTCAGCTTTTCCATTAAGACTGCTTTTGAAGTGCATCTCGGATGACTCATCTCTGTCGGATATTGAAATTCTTGAATTTTCTACTCTTGCCTCACTTTATATATTTTTAATTTTTCTTCCGTGATACTTGTTAAAGATTAATATCTATTCAATGCAGCCAATGCCTTAAAAAAGGTAATTGAATAACCTTCGACTTTTTTGTTAAATATATTGTTTGCCGTTTACAAAGTCCTAACTCGGCTGTACAACTCTTTTGTGCGACAGTTTGAGGTGGGCTGGCTGCAGTGATGTCCAGAGCCACAAAATCCGCCTCGAGGTCCCGGAGCCGTTCCAGGTCCCGGAGCCGCTCCAGGTCCCGGTCAAGATCCCACTCTACCTCCCGCTCCAGAAGTCGCACCAGATCCCGGTCCGGGAAGCGCCACCACCGGTAGAGCCCCGTTTTATGAACTATCCTCCTTTCTGAGCAATCTATTGGCTGTGTTGTTTTTCTGAGGTCAAGATCAACTGCCTGTTGCTTCATTGTTGGAGATGCCTCTTTGTTGCCAGACCACAATCATTTAAACAAGGTTATGTACTAATAGTATTTAGTACATACAGTGTGAATGAAGAATGCCTTGACCCACCTAATGCTGAAAGTATGAATGACTGTGATGAAGAAAAGAAAAACTAGCAGCAGGTGCAGCTGGTAAAGTGCTGCCTTGTTATGCACAGACACCAGTATCAACCATCCATCCACTCAAATTCTATCGAGTAAATCGTATCCCTAAGATCTGACTATGCTGGTAAGATTTGACATGTAAAAAAATATGTATGCAGGTAGATTATTTGTGACAGTGGGGATGTCAACAGGCAGCTTTGTGTTCAGTTATAGTCAGCGTGTCCCGTTGGCTGCATATTTATTGATTTCCATCTGCAAGACCTTCTTGTCTTGTCCTGGACTTTATTACTTTGGTTCTCATGAACTCTGGAGAACTGGTGCAGCATGTAGGGTATTAATGGATTTGGGTTGGACTCCAACTCTTGACTTCGGCTTCTGTATCAAGAGGAAATTGATGTTTTAGAAAGAGTTCAGCTGCCGGTTTGGGAATTGACTTAAGTAGGAGCAAATATTATTGGAGTTTGCAATTGGTGGGAAAACATTTTCATATTAGTCGACCTCATCGGCGTATGAAAAATCAGGAGGGCAGCATTGGTTGGTTTGCTTGAATAGAAATGTGCTGGTTGTTGGGTTATCTGCTGGATATGATGTGTGTTTTCAAGAAAAAGTGAGGCTTCACATTGATGCCTTTGCTGTTTCTATACAGAATGACTTGTGGTAATAAAATGGCAGGGCAGCTCATTTTTACTGACAGTGCACATATTCAAATTAGCATGAGTAAGAGACATGGAAGGAATCTAATGGTTCACTCTTCCTGTGCCCACCTTTCTCATGTGCAAATGGCTTTGTGGTCACACTGGACCTGTGCAAGCCTGAATGCATACATTAGCATAATGTGTATATAAACACAGATTAAAATACAAACACACCAAAACATTCTCACACATTATTTCCCTACATCTTGTTGGAAAAACACAGCTCCAACAGGTTTGCAGGTCTGAAGACTAAACACAAACCTTCTTCTCTCGACTCCCCTTTCACTGTCAGCATATCTTAATTGATGAATCATCAGTAGTTAAATGGGCCACAGATGCAGACTGCAGCAAAACACTTACTCTGGACTTTCCTAACTGACTTATTTCATGTTTAATAAGACAAATCATTGTGTATTTTATATATAGACCACATTAAGATGTTGATAGTATTTTGGATGAACAGTCAGCATAGTGTCTCTCTAAACTGGTTAAACAGCCAGTATAGCTGGCAAGCATGCAGTCAAAGGATTGGAGTAGGAGATTTTTTTTCTCTCTCAAACGGTCCATGTGACTTTCTGCTCCACCATAGTTGGCCAGACGAGACAAAGTATCTGTAGCTCGCAACGTGAGTGTGCGGTGCGGCTCAGTGCGCTGCTCTCTTTGCTCACTCTGTATTCCAATGCAAAAACACACTAGGTGAGTCTTTTTTTAGCCTTTTTATATGGCTTTAGCATGTCTTTGCATGTAGTGTGGTTCTGCGCTGCCCTGTCCAGTTATTGTTCTGCAATATATAGGCTTTGTATGTATTTGTAAATATATACTTTCACATTTCAGTTGATCTTTATAGTATATTAAGATTGTAATTGGAAAACCAGCTGAGAAGATTCGTTTTATTTATTGATAGTTGTCTAAAAGTTGCTGAAGATGTACTGTTGCTGTAGAGAAAAGACGAACAGAAAAATAACTAGTTTGATGTATTGCAGTAGATTTGCGACATTCATAATCTCAAAGCTGTTGGTGGAAAGTTGTGGATATTGTGTTGACATGGGTTAAAAAGAGCATGTTGGACTGATCTAAATCACTGAAGACGGGTATAATCTATAGATTGTGTTTAAGGTTCGGGCTACAGAACGACACGAGGCATTTCATCAGAAGCGCAGCAGAGCCACCATGTGGCCTAGTCTCACCTTGCATCTTGGCTCTGCACCACAATGTGAAAGCTCTGCTTTTCAAAACGGACTGGTTTAATTAAGTAGCAATCTAAGTTGTATTTTTTTTGGTACGCGTTTGTCAACTTATAACATTTCATAGTCCATTTAGCCATAGTGGCATTCAGTGCTTTAAAGTGTCCTTAGTGTGATTAGCCAACATCTAGATTTCTTTATAAACTGAGTGACCAGGTTGTACTACATTGGTGAAATGGCAAAGCGCTATATGATCACATACACAGCAGGGGTGTATCCGACTCTCTGCTCAGTAAATGTTACATTTTGTGAGAGAGTCTCAGATCGATGTTCGGAGTTTAGTGAAGAGCCTGTGAGTTACAGATTCAGGAAGCCATGTGTTAGATTGTAGTACATTCCTCAGAAACTTCACAAAAACGTTTTGTTATGTATATCTATAGTCTTAATTTGTGTATTAAGTGATAACTATTTGCTTGCTTTTCCTCTTTGCTTTTGTTCACAGCTCTAGGTCTCGGTCATGGTCAAGATCTCATTCTCCATCTCATAACCGGGAGAAGAAATATCAGAGGGGATACCAGAATGGTCGTGAGTTCCGGGGATACCAGCGCGGCTTCCGGAGGCCGTACAACTTCAGGGGCCGAGGGCGGGGCTACTTCCCACGTGGACGCTACCAGCGTGGTGGCTATAACAATAACAACAACTTCCGCCCCAACTGGAAGAATTACAAGCAGTACCCTCAAAAAGAACAACAACAACAACAACAACAACAACAACAACAACAACAGCAGCAGCTGCAAAACCATTCACGAGGACGCTCTCACAACCTCCAGCAAAGCTCAGGAAGCCCCCCTCGTGGTCACTCTCACCACTCTGACCGATCCTCTTCGCCATTATCCAGACACTCGCAGCATTCTTCCTCTTCCTCACACTCCTCCTCTCCCAAATGGAAGCCATCCTTGTTGCAGATGAACCAGAACTCCAAAGATGTGAAAGAGGAGCTTTCTGCCTCCAAGGAGGTCCAAAAGGGAGGAGGGGGAGATGAGGAGCCAGTGGAGCTCATCGGGGTGTTGGCAGGAGATGCCAAAGAAGGAACATGCAGCGGGAAAAGTGAGGGGAATTGGCAGAGCCTGACAGACTGCAGAAGCAGTCCAAAGAGAACGAGTCCTCTGGTAAGCTCTGTTGTTATTGTTGGTCAGAACAGCCAAACTACAAACCAGTCAAGTCCTTCCCCTAAAATCACGAACGACATTGGCAATGGCGCCCCCTCCTGGAAGATGGTGTGTAGTAGTTCATCCTCAACCAAGAAAAGCCCACATGAAGGTCTAAATCCAATGCTTGCAAGCTATGACTTCTTCTCCAACGAGGAATACATGCATGGAGATAAAACGGCAATATCCGTTGCCTTCAAACAGTAAGACAGATTTTTACTCTTCTTTTTTCAAATTGTTTTATCAGACTATGCAAGCTTTATAAATGTACAGATACAATGTGATGAATTATTGCTTGAATGCCTTCATGTGCCTTTTTTAAGACCACACTTTTTATGTCATTTTATCCCGGGTAGTAAATATTTCTCTGGTTTAACAACATTGTTTAACAAGGAAAATAATGTAAATGTCAAATTAGGGCCTTTACAAATAAGATTTTTTTTAAACACCGGGGGGGGGGGGGTAGTGTCAGATAAGTATTTTATATTTAAAAAGGCTCTAATTTGACATCTTGTCAGATTTCTTCTTTAATTTCTGCAGTTGTCTCACAAGTTGCATGCCCAGTTAGATGCAGCTCTTTATCTCTTGTCATTGTTTAGGTTTTTGGAGGAGCAAAAAAAAAAAGCCAAAGCTCTTGAAAATGGCAAGACCACAGAAGCAAAAGATGTGGACATGGAGGAAGGGAAAATGAAGGCCAAGACATCAGCAAATATCTCTGACTCACTGTCAAGAATGTACAGAGAGGACATTGATGGTGAAGTGTCTCTGAAAAGCTTTTTGAAAGCTTCTCCTTTTCTGTCTGCTGACGGGGAGGAAGAGGACGAGGCGATAATCAAGCCTCGTTCAAAGTCTCTTCACAAAGACTGGCACAATGGGGACGAGTCCTTTAAGACAAAGATAAAGGTCACTCACTCATCCCGGGAACTGTTTGATGAATGCTTTGGCAAATGGCAGAATGTGGCCTACTCACAGGTAGCCAACAGTGACCTCGACATCATGGCAGAGGACATATACCTCGCTCGAAAGCAGGAAAAAGCAGCGGCCATTGCTGCTGCCCTCGCCAAGAGGGAGTTGGCGGGAAAATGTGAGGGACTGTCCCCAGACATGGGTGGTAAAGCCAGGAAAATGGCAAAATCTCCCTCCATCTCATCTCCTACACCACCACCACCACCAAGGAGAAGCTCTGACAAAGAGCTCAGGGGAGAGGACTCATATTTCATGTCCTCAAGAAAACAAGAAACTAAATTAAATGTCAGAATGGATTTCCTTGGAGAAAGCCTGATGAGGTGAGCATCACATAATGATACTGGGTGTTTTCCTCAGTGAGCCATTATCTGTACGTCCTGATGAAGACATTGCAACAGTAGCTAATACTAAACTTCTGATATACTGATTCCTAACAAGAATTATATATCTTAACTCGTTTTAATGTTGTTTTATGTGATTGAAGGACAAGCTTTCTGTTTTTTGATGATTTTTTTAACCAAAAAGCAACAGACCCAAGTTATTTTTTTGTCGTTTTCAGGTCTTCTGATATCTTAGCTGAGGAGCGACAGTTGTCTCAAGATCTTGTGCAGTCCTCAAAAAAGGATCAAGAGTTTCGCTCCATCTTTCAACATGTTCAAGCTGCTCCATCACAGAGGTGTCCCTCCGAGCTGTTTGCTCAACACATTGTCACCATCGTTCACCACACTAAAGGTGAGTCCTCACCTCTTTTGCTGTCATTATTAGAGTAGAGTAAGCTAATTATAGCTTTTTTAAAAAGGGACAAATCACTCTACATGTCTAGTGTAGTAAGATTTAGCCATTCAGTTTAGCCACACTGAGCATTGTAACCTTCAAAGTAGTGATAAACAAATTCATGACAAATGCAGTTTCTCTGCAAACCAAAGCATGATGTTTTTTAGGACACTGTAAAACAAGGCCTTAAGCACTTACTAATGTTTTACTTCCTACATTATATAAAATCTTGTGCCACAGACAGTAGATGCACTTCCTACTTTAACGGCTGTTTTTACCATGTCCCTGCACAGCTCAGCACTTTCCAGCCTCTGGAATGACTCTAAACGAGCGATTCACCATGTACCAAAGACGAGCTGCAGAGAAGGAAATCATGAAGCCAAGAAAAAGCCCAGAGATACACAGGTAGAGTCGCCTATTGAGTGACCCTCTCACCTTCAGTGTGCTGTGGCTTCACCTCCTCTCTTTTAACAGCTTTCAGGTATTTCTCTCACCTTTCCTACCTGAAAAAAAAACAACAAAAAAAACTATCTCGGCTTATTTTTTGCTCATGCTCAATTTTTTCTTTTTCTTTTGTCCGTTTTGTGTCGTCTTTGTAGTTGAATGCACTGTAGCTCACAGTTTGTCGTTTTGGCACTTGTACCGTGGTTCCTTTGCTGTGTGCATTCAAATCATCATGTCTTAACTGTGTTTCCTTCTCACAGGAGAATTGATGTTTCACCAAGAGCTTTTAAGAAACACTCTCAACTTTTTGAGGCGATGAAAAGCTCAGAGGATGGCACTTACAAGGTGACTGAACATTTTGCAAACTGAAGTACGTTGGAAAAATCAAACAACAGCAAACGAGTGCGCAAGCCAGATGCCTTTAGGCTGAACTCTCTGAAAGCCTGTCAGGCTTTCCTTGAAGGGAGATGCAGAGTCTAAGAAATGCAAATGCTGAATAAGGCACTTTGACTTTGTTGTTTGTTATATATCGCCTTCAAACATGGTGAAATGCTTAGACTGTGGGCACAAGCCTGACCAAGGCCAATGAATCATATAAGTTCAGAAATGGAAGCCACTGTGCCAAAGCTGTTCAAAGGACTCTAAGCAATTGTCTTCGTAAGTATTCTTTAAAAAATAAGGAACGGAATTAACCAACCGCAAGCACTTTATGCCCCTGTGCTTATATTTACGTGCTTAACTTTCTGAGTAAACACTCACAATATTTCTTTATTGATGCGCATGGGCACATGGTCAAACATGAGGCGCAAATACTAAAATATATTAAAGTGAGTAAACTTAAATTAGCATGAATTCTCTTTTTCTTCACTAGTGTTAAAGAACCATGCTGGTCGTTTTGCTCAACAACTACAAACTGTGTATACTTTTAAAACTATTTCCCAAAGCATACCTCAAAGTTTCTAGATTGGTTTCCCAACTCCCAAGCAGCTATTGGTTTCACTTCATGTCAGAACAGTGTGATAATTAACTCACAGTGACTTTAAACTTCTTTGAAACAAATTGTTAATTTTTTTCAAGTTGATTTTCCTGCCATATTTAAATAGCTGCTTTGAAGGCAGAAAAAAATCAATCTAAAAACATATGCTTTGGAGAATGGTTCAGATTTTAAGGTGATTCTTAAACATGCAAAACTTCTGGTTTTGCCCTTTAAGTGCACTGGAGAATTCACTTTACAACAGCATGCTTTTATTCATGGCAGCCGTCTGTTATCAGGGGTTTTTCCCCTTTACTCACTGTTTAGTCTAAAAACCAGCTTGGCTGAGAGCAGATTGATAGCATCTAAATGCTAACCCAAAGTCTGTCCACGACGTTGTGTTCTGTTTTTGATTTTCTCAGGATGGCGGGGAAAAACTGACGGGTGACCCGATGGACCTTCGTTTGGATATCGAGCGCCGTAAAAAATATACCATCTATGACAGAGATAATAATCAGGATCGGGGAGGAGATGTGGGAGATTCCCCAGATTCTAGTAGAGACAGATCCGTGGAAAAGCTATCCAAATCGAGCGAAAGATCAAAGTATGTGCGACTGCCCTGTATTGTTTCCAATTATCTTCAAATGTGTTTAATACCGTTGTTCATCTCACCTGCATGATAAAGAGTTTGCCATGAAGGATTTTGCATGTGCTATTTCTCTCGTAGGAAAAGTCAGAAGAAGCGCTCTCGCTCAAGTTCGTCCTCATCTTCCTCGTCCTCAAAGTCCCAAAAAGAAGCTTTGCCCCATGGCAAGTCTGATCCCAAAGATAAAGGCATTGACAGGGCCCAACTGGGTCAAACAGAGTCATCAGGACCAGCTGAAAGAGGAAGGCCACGTGGTGGATTTGTAAGTTTAACATATGATGGTGGATTGACACCGTGCATTTGAATCAATGGTTTTTCTCCATTTCTATTCCTTGTCTTTTATTCCAACTACAGCAAGTTCGTGTCCGTGGAAGGAGCTGGAATGGAGGCAATTATCAGGGAAACTGTTCACATAGTAACATGATGGCAAACATGGCTGTACAACCAGAAAATGAAGACTGGGACCCAGAGTACACTCCCAAGAGCAGGAAATACTTCTTGGTAGGGTTGATCTCTTTCCCAATCATGTGTGAATTAACCATCTGGTGTCGTTCGGTCCAATCTAGCACAAGTTTGTCCTTTTGGCAACTGTTGTCTTGACACACCTCCATCCTTTTTTTTCTCCCAGCACGACGACAGAGAACGGGAGGCAGAGTGCAAGATGGTGGACAACCGAGGGAGAGGACGGGGAGGCTTCTCGCGTGGAAGGGCGCGATTCATCGTCCGCAAAGCCACTGGGGGCCCCAACACCAACAGCCCCAAATGGGCCAATGACAAGTTCCAGAGCAACGGGGAGCAAGGTGACACGCATGAGGAGACGGAGCAGGACCATAAAGAAGGAGAGGACAGAATACTGGAGCAGTGAAGCAGGCTGCTGAGAATCTTAATTTTCTTCTTGTGTTGTTATGGGATCTGAATCAGTGATTTTATCCACCGCAATGGATTCATAAATGCAGATTAAGACTCTTTTTAATGCCTTAATTTCAGTTTAGGATACTCACTCTGACTTGACATAACGATTTTCCACATCAGGATAGAAGTCAAACCTAGTAGTAGCACTGTTTAAAGGTGAATTGCTGTTTCTCATAAGAAGTTGGATTTATGTTAAAATGATTTATTGCTTTATGTTTAGGGGGCATTTTACTTTTATCTCGCAGAATTGATTAAAAAAAAAAAATACTACTTAATTTGACATTTTTAAGTAGCAAGAGAAGGTCATATCATAGACCTTATGCTTATGCAAATGAGGAAATGTTTTGCGAGTGGGTTAGAAGAGGAATAGTTTTAGAACAGCAGGCTTGTTGTTTTGAGCTGTGTCTTGATTAGAATGACATGCAATAAGTACACTGTAGTTCATGTTGACATAAAAACATCGCTGTTTAGCCAATGCAGCACTCTACAAAAGACCCCGATCTGACATGGGACCAAACTGTATGGGGTCAAAGGTTATGCTCTACTGTCTTTCATTGTACTACAGCCAACAGATCTACAATACTGACACCATATGAGACTGTTACTATGAGGATAACTGTACATTTAATATGTTGCTCACTAAACATTTTGCAGTCAAGATATTTCTATACATGACAGTCGCTCTTTGCTTGATCTTGGACACCACTAATCAATGTATAATATTGATAGTGATTATATATTTTCTCCAAAAGACATTCATAGTTTTTGTAACTGGCTAGACAGGATTTTGTCTGCAAAGGACTTGCCATAGATTTTGATGTTTTTCATTCACTGTTTGCAAACTTTTCTCCTGCCAATAGTGATTTAATCAGTTACGTTGTGTTCAATCAGTTATGTTGTCTTCAACTGTGTTGACTTTGTGATAGAAGAGGCTCAACATTTGCATTTGTTTATACAATACAAGGCAGTTTATAGAGCAAAGGACACAGTATGTCTAAACCTAAAATAAGAATGTTTTTCAGTGTATATCTCCAATCATTTTAAGTCTAGGATTAGGCTCATCTCTGTTTGGCCAACTGCCCGTACAGTTGGATTACATGTTCTTGTGCCTTGCTGTGGGTCTGCTGGTCTTATTTGTACTGCAGGCCAACAGATTGAGATTCACATTTAAATGTTTCAAGATTACCTGCTTGGGGAATATTGCTTTTCTAAATAGGTGTTGTTACTGTTTTTTTTCTTAGAGAATGTAAATTAAAGAGACTGATTACTTTAAAGTTTGCTTTGAGGTGTGCTTTTTATTGAAATTTCTTTAAGGTGTAATAACAATTCAGGTTTATCTATAAGAAAGCCACTCACACAGTCATTATAGTTGTATCATGGGAAGCATGAGCTTGATGCTTATCCTCACCTAGACTCCCACCAGAGAGGAACTTAACATACTGTGTAACAGTAGTTCATCTAGTGAATAAACATCTTTACCACATGCCAGTGACTACCTGCTGGTTGTAAATGTCAGTTAACAGCCTTCTTTTGTCCCGGAAACACTGCAGCAACTGAATATAAACCCATTTAGCAATAACCCATGCACCCGTGACCATAAACAGCGAGTCCCCCAGGGACAGCTCATTTAAATAATGCACCAGCTGCACAGGAAACCAACTAAATTGTACATGGTTAAGTCTCCTGATGACACTGCCATCTTGTGTTTTAGGACAAATTATTCAGACAATAGCAAATGCAACCACAAGATCCAGAATGTTTTTTGTTGGGCCTTATCAGTACCCTGCCAGACCACTCACCTTGGCTATGTTAAAAATATTACAACTTAGATTGATTCATGTCCATACCTGTTTATCTGACAACACTAATAATAACTTGAAGCATTTTTTGGGTTTTTGATTAAATAGTCATCAGACTGATCATGACAGAAGCTGAGCATGTCCTCCACTGTGACTCTCTCGCAGCTTCTGCTCTCCGGGTTTGCTCACTGGAGACATCAGTGAAAACACTTTCTTACTCTGTCCACCGAGGCGCTGGAAGACAGTGTCTAATTCAGTAATGGCATTTTTATAGTATTTTTTATAGTAAACAGGAAGGCAATCAAGTTGTCCAAAATCAAAGACCAATGCAGAAGGAAATATTTAAAAGTCTTTATAATATAGGCCTTAATGTATTTACATACATGCATTTACTGTATGCTCTGACAAAGACCTACAGTGGTCAAAACACGCTCTTAATAATTTAGCCACTATAATCAAGGATTTTTTATATTTTCTTTCTAGTTGGTGTCAGATTTTGGAGTGCCTGGATTTCCTTCCTGTTGATCCTGATATTTTTCCCATTTATTTTTTATTATTTTCTACAGTTGAGTAAACAGAGCAACCAGTTATCACTCTGTCCTGGTATTTTTATTGTATTGTAAAACATTATTTTAGTTTTACTGTGAATTTTTGTGTATTTGAAAATGGGGCCGTTTGTACTCATTGATATCAGTTTGTACACCTTCTTCATTTTTAACAGCCCTCACTGGATGTTGTCCAGGAGAAACCTTTAAAGGATCAAAAAGACAATACCCTTTCCTACACAATGTTGAAGACGAGACCAAGAGGACTTGCTTACTAACATTCAACAGGAAAGATATAAGGAAGCACTTGAGTAATGACATGACTCAACATATGGAGCAAAAGAAAGGGCGAGAGCCTGAACTATTAAAGCTGATATGTAACATTTTAATAACATTGTAACAACATGTTTTATCTTCTATAAAATGTACGCTCTTTTTTTTTTTTGCCAGATGTTATTTTGTTTACTAAATTCAGTCTTGAATATCCTATTTCAGCTACTTTGCCTCAAGCGGTGAACAAAAACAACATTACAGACACACTCAAACAAGCCCCTCCCAACAAACATACATAAAGTATTAAGTTTCTTTATTTATATATCTTTATATTTCACACCATCAAGTATGGATGTGTATGAAAGAGCAAAGCAGACTTGGATTAAAGTGGGGTTGTGCTGCTTGCGAATGCTGACTTTTATCCTCCGATATTGTTGTGATGACATACGTTGTCATGATCTATTCTTAGCCTCACTTGTGACCTTTGTTCTTTGACTATAAACCTGTCTTACCTGTTCTGTCCATTATCTCCCTCTGTCCTCCTCCTCTCTCTCTCTCTTGCTCCCCCCACCTCTCTCTCTCTCCCTCTCTCTCTCTGTACTGTATGACCTATCCTACTCCTTGCTGTTGACTTGTCATGACTAGCCTAAGGAAAAGTTGCTCAATGTTAATGTTTGACAAGCAGGAAGAAGTGCCCTGGCTGCCATATTGCTCAGTCTTGGTCAACGCAACCACACTCTTTCAGTTCTCCTTCTACTCGAGGGTTTGTTTGCTGCTTTGTGAAGGAATTACATATTCAAAGCTGAGGGAGAAAGACAGAAAGAGATCATGGGTGAGTTGGTGTTTTTTACTTGTATATTATGTTTTAATCCTATCGGCTGTCCGTTAGCTAGATTCTTGGTGATTCAATGATAAAATAGGAAATATTTGCAAAGTAATGAAAAGATGAAATGTTTTTGTGTCTGTACAAAAGGCCACCGATTTGATTGGAATTTGGCATGCAAATAAAAGTAAATAAGTGGTTCTACGGACGGATGCCATTGCATAACTTCGCATGGACTGAGCGTATGCATTTGTGTTTGCTGGAATTTGTTTTGTATGTACCCAAAGATTCTTTTGAGTTGGAAATCCTACTAACGCTGGCTGACTTTTCTCTAATTTGATGATACGTTTGAAGACTACCATTGAAAACATGTTTTCACTTGTAAGGAATGATGAGTGACAACAGAACACAGTGGCGTTTATCTGTAGCAATCTACATTCACTCCAAGCCCGTTCCTCTCGCCTCCACTGGGTTTGTCTTGGTTTTTGAAATGTCAGGACACATCACTTGTGAAGCGAGCACACCAGGCTTTGTGCAAAGAATCTAATTTTCTGCCCCATTTACGGTGCCACTGCAGAGGTGCTGGTGCTGATCGACTTCGAGGGCACCATGGGAGACGAGCTCACAGTGAGGACGGGGGATGTGGTCAATAATGTCACCAAGGCCAGCGAGGAGGGATGGCTGGAGGGGGAGCTGAGAGGAAAGAGAGGCATCTTCCCTGCCAACTTTGCCAAGGTCCGTTAACTCTACACAGCCCACAGCATTGTCCTGTTACTGTACTGTGTGTTTATGTTTATCCACTTGTCTTAAAATATGCCTCGTTCTGGTTTTCATTACAGGAGGTGCCAGTCTTTTTGATTGGGGACAGCAAGAGGGAACCACGGAGCATTAGAAAAAGTACAATGCTAAGTCTAATAAAATGCTTCATTTGCTTCATGTTTAAACTTGTGTGTGTAGAAGATCTGGAGTTCTGCCTTCATCAGTGGCAGGCAGATTAAGTCAGTAAATCAAGAGAGGATTTTATTATATTTAATGTACTCAGAGAAATTATCGTGAGAAGAAATACTGCATATGTTGCAATATGAACCCCTTGTCTCTGCTTGCAGCTTGAGTCAAAATAAACCATGAAAATATTTGGCAGTGCTATTTAAATCAGGTTGCTTTTTCTACTGTAACATTGAGTGTTTAAAATCGTGGTTAGTGTGGTGCATACAATCAGCAAGACTGTGCAGCAAGCGAGCCGACTGTAACTATATGTTGTACCACATCCTCTGCCACAAATCCTAATTATGATGTATGAAAAGTGCGCAGATAGAAATAAACAGTCTTTGAGGGATTAGGCATGCACTATCATGTCCTCCGATCAAGGTAAACACACCATTATTGAGCTCCAGCTGTCCATCGGCTTTACCGCTAGATTATCAACTTTACATTAGACTGTTGATGTGGCTGCTGATTCTTTGTCTTTCTCCAGCGAAGAAGATGAAACAGACAAGGAAATGCGAGGTAGCGTTTGCCTACAGCGCTTTGAATGAAGACGAGCTGGAGCTGGTTGCTGGGGAGACGATAGAGATCATCAGAGAGGTAGAGTCCCCTCTTATCGCTGCTCAAACACTCATGTTTGAACTCCAATAACCAAACAATGATGCTCGGCAAATGAGCTGCCGCAGCATACTGTACAGTTGCAAAGCATTTCTCTGCTGGTGGCTGAAGCTGCTCAGCGGCCAAAGCCTTAGTATTGTATGTAAATCTGGGCGTTGGGGAAAGGTTTGCACAGCCAATCTGCCCTGGGCAAATAAAGAGTGTTTTTATAAAGGCATAAATTGATTGTTTGGGTATTACATTCTCTTTATGCCGCCAGGCTGATAAAGCATATTTCCCGGACAAATTACAGCTTGACGGAAATGCATGTGGACTGATCCGACTGGTTCTGAGAATTCACATGGATATTAATGCCATGGAGTAATCAGAGACCTGAAACAGACCGATTGTATGCAGTGTGTTAAGGGTTTTAGCAAAGAGTTGTTGCACCCATACAATGCTGATTTTGTCTTCTCACATTGTTCCTTGTTGTACTCCGTCTCACTTTGATCTAATCTACTCAACAGATTGAAGACGGATGGTGGATGGGGGTGAAAAATGGCAAAGTGGGAGCATTTCCTTCAAATTTTGTCAAAGAAATTTTCGTTTCTCCTAAAGGTTGGTAAAACCCAAACTTTTGTTTCATGTAATCTTAAAAAAAACAGCTTAACTCATTATTGATGATACTCTTTTTTTACAGACGGCAAGCACAGTGAGGGCAAGGCAAGACCCAAGCTCAGTGACGCAGTGTTCAACAAGGAGGTGTGTAAAGCAGAGATGAAAGTACCTGAAATGCATGATTTGTTTACCCTTTGACTTAACAAACTTTTTGTCCTCAAAGATATCTCAAAGAACAAGTGTGAGGAACAAAGAAAGAAACGGTTAGTCCTATTATATGTGGTAATTCCTGTCCTTGTACCTGAATGGTAAATGGGTGGTGGGAGTCAGGTGGCTAACGTGGCTGGATTAATCACTTTACAGAGTGTTAGGTCAGAGCGGAATATCCTTCAGCGATCAAAGATTTACAGCTTTTATCTCCAGTTGGTCACCACCTCTTTCGGGTTATTCTTTGAGTTAGTAATGGGACGGTTGCATGCAAGGCTGATAAGATTCGTCACCATTGTTAAAACGTCTTAGTAACCATGTCATCTTCTACGTCTCCTCAGTGGTGGAGTGTTGCCAAGTCATGTTTGACTACAAGGGCAAAACGGATGATGAGTTGGATCTGAAAAAAGGAGACATTGTTGTTCTACTGAGAAAGGTGCGAGGACATTTTATTGTTGTTTTCTGGCATTGTTTCGACCGTGTTTTCCCATGATGCCATGCCATTAACAGATTCCTTTCGGCTGTATTTGCATTTGTTACAAAGTAGTTGCAAGGGTATGACATTGTTTTTCCAGCCAAACCAGTTGTGTCACTGTCAAGGGCATTCCACGGTGCACATGTTTTAGTTTCACACATCATAGAGAAAAAATGCCATTTCTGAGATACCTTCCATGATAAAATGGATAATAAGGCAGCCGTGTCTTGCTTGACCATCTAGTAACCTCCTGTGCAGCAATTTGGGGTCCCAAATGACACTGCCATGTTTGAGCTTCTAATGCGACTCTTTAATCTCCATCTGAAGGAAACAGAAGATAACGGCTGGTGGGAAGGAGAGCTCAACGGACGCTGTGGCTTCTTTCCTGATAACTTTGTCATGGTGATACCGCCAATGGACAGTCTGCAAGTGAGTGGACTAAAACACAATATCCTCTTTGGACTGGACCTTCCCCACATTCAAGATCTGACAACTGCACTGCGCTTCCACAAAACCATAGATGTGCTTTATAGCAATTCATATCTGTTGAACATTTTTATTATTTTGAAATGGCTCAAAATACAAACTACATAATGGCTGTTTTTCTGCAGCTGGCTGGTATTTATGTTACTTTAACAAGTCTGCAGTGAGTCACGATCGTCTCTTAACATCCTCCGTTTTGGAATTACTCACTGAAAATTCCCTTAGTGGAAAGAGTGTGTAAAATAGAGGTGCCTTTAATTCACAAGGGGATGTACTTGCCAACCTGTTGAGTTTTCCATTTCTCCTCTTCTAGTCTGGGACCTCAAGCCAACCGCCTGCACGCAACAACAGCACTGGTACAGGTAAGAGACGAAAATGTATGTTGATGAAACGCAGCAACACAGGGGCAAACAGCGTTTTGCATGAGAGACAGGAGCTAGGCTTCACATTTTAGAGGTTCTCTTCTGACTCGTGACTTCTGGCTGCAGTGGTGTTTAGCCTGGCAGTGTGTCCGCAGCTTGGACTGTGATTTTCAGCGTGTGGTATAGAAGCAGCCAAAATGTTCCCCTGATCAATGTCATTATTTAAATGTGCTTCCGAAGCAACTTGAACGCTGCAATTTTGAGATCCTTGCACTTCACTAGAGTATTTCCATTTTCATTCTATTTTACAAGGCAAATATTGTACTTTTCATTCTACTGCATTTAATTAACAGCTTTAGCTACAAGTTACTTTGCAGATGGATATTATCAACACATAGTCAATTAATAAATTATGATGAATAAAAGTTTACTTTCAAATTTCTAAATTACAGTTTTCATTGTTAATGTCTTCTCAGTTATTGCAGCCAACATATTCTTTTAGTTTGGTGATTAAAAGAGAGAAAAAATAACATTTATAGCCTCTGAAACAAAGATGTAGAAGTCAAATCGGTGAACAACACAGAGCCGGATGTGGCTTCTTGTGTTTCAGCTGAGGAGTGCTGTCTGTGGTGCTAGTTGCACATTTTGCAAATTATTCTACCAACAAAACAAAAATGTCTATTTTACAAAATTTAGACCCCCAACTCTTTCCTTGATTAGAGATTCAATATGCATGCTCATCAAAAACATCTATGGGTAAACAGGCAGGTGAAACTGTGCCATTCTAAGTCAATGCCACCTGAACTAACTGAATATCAGCGCAGTCTCATACTGCCACCACATTACACTCATTACAGCAGTTTTTCCACACAGCATCACTCACAAGAAGTTCACAGGAAGTCTCAGACTATATCGAGATGGGGGAGGGTTACACTGTTCATGTGACACAGTTCAGGAGTCTTGGAGGAAACAAGGGGGTGGGGTGGGGGGGGGGGGG